GTGCATAATGAGGAAGTTTCCATGAAATAAATGTGTAGCTATGGACTTTGGTCCTGGAATGTCAGGGACCTTACTTCATGGTCCGTGGCTTACAGTGGGCTCACAGTACTAGTAATTGAGAAAATCCAAAACAAGATTTTATTTTTTAAGATTTCCAAAAGGCTTCCACCTCAGTCTCTGAAGTAATTGGAACTACAGAACTGTGCCCCCCCCGCCCAAAAGAAAGATTTCCAAAAGGGGCCGGGCACGGTGGCTCATGCCTATAATCCCAACACTTTAGGAGGCCAAGGTGAGAGGATCGCCTGAGCCTACGGGTTTGAGACCCGCCTGGGCAACTTGGTGAGACCTCATCTGCAGTACATCAAAAGATTAGCCGGGCATGGTGGTGCACGCCTGTAGTTCCAGCTACTTGGAAGGCTGAGGCAAAAGGATCACCTGAGCCCAACAGGTCAAGACTGCAGTGGCTGAGAGCAAGCCACTGCCCTCCAGCCTGCGCGACAGAGTGAGACTCCAACTCCAAAAAAAAAAGATTTCCAAAAGAACAACAAAATGTTTATTTTTTAAGTGCAAGAATTATGAGAAATCTAAGTAATGGGAATTGGACCCTTATCGGGGTCCTCTGGGAAATCGGAAGCACCACCCTCCCCCGCAATTCGATGCTTTAGTAATCAGTTCTTTTCACTGGATTGAAGACACCATTGATCTTCTGGTCGCAGACATAGCAGCCTGCGGGAATGCTGCAGCACACAGTTCTTGCAGAAATGATGCCCGCCCTTGGTGACAACTGGGTTTTGGAAAGCCTGGCACAGATGAAGCACTTGAATGGTATTTCCGCCTCTTGGCTTCCCACTTCATAGTTTTCATTCTCATAGACACCACCAAGCTCACGTTCGATCTGCCACACATGCTTGTAATCTGAACCATCATGGAGGAATTTACAGTTATCTCTCAAACTGCAGAAGCCATTCTCTTGTAGTTCTTTTTTTTTTGAGTTGGAGTCTCACTCTGTCTCCCAGACTGGAGTGCAGTGGCCGCTCTCGGCCACCGCAGCCTCGACCTGCTGGGCTCAGGTGATCCTTTCGCCTCAGTCTTCCAAGTAGCCAGAACTGCAGGTGCATGCTACCACACCTGGCTAGTTTTTGATTTATTGTAGAGATGAGGTCTCACCAACTGAGGCGAGTCTCGAACCCGCGGGCTCAAGCAATCCATTCACCTCGGCCTCCCAAAGCGCGAGATTATAGGCTGAGCCACCGAGCCCGGCCCTCTTTGTAGTTCTGATAGATGTCAGGATACTAATCCCAGTGCGCGGTAGCATGTAGATGTCGGGGCGCTTGGATGGGGCCTTTCCTCACCATCCTGGAAGAAGCATTGCCCTTAGACGTATCTTTGGGCTTCATGCATTTCTGATCATTATTGATTCCCCGATAGGTCTTGTCATCCCAGCACTTTGAGAGGCCGGGGTGAGTGGATTGCCTGAGCCCGCGGGTTTGGGACTAGCCCGGGCAACTTGGTGAGCCCTCATCTCTGCACTAAATCAAAAATTAGCCGGTGTGGTAGCCAGCGCCTGTAGTTCTGGCTACTTGAAAGCCTGGGGTGGAAGGATCACCAGATCCCACTAGGTTGAGGCTGGGGTGGCCGTGAGTGTGCGTGCCACTGCACTCCAGCCTGGGCGACGGAGTGAGACGCCAACTCAAAAAAACCCCCAAAAAAACAGAAGAAGAAGATGGCTTGTGCACCACGCTCCTTCTGTATGTCCAGCTTACAGACAGCAGTCGCCCCATATCCTCTGGCCCCACAGATTTCCCCGAGCGGGTGACTTAACAAACCACGCCGAGATACTCAGGCTCTTATTCTTATCCTCTCCCTCACTGCTCATATCGCCTAAGCCACCCTCTGTTCACCACCACCACGGGTCTTCTGGATCATCGGATTGTGGGTTATCCGCTTCTTCTCGGGTAGGACCACAGCGCTGCCTTGGTCACTGCCGCTGCTGCCTCCCCTGGCCCACAGCCCCTTGGCGCCCAGGCTTTTGGAAAAGGAAGGTGCAGCCGGGCTCGGTGGCTCAGCCTATCATCCCGCGCCTTTGGGAGGCTGAGGTGAGTGGATTGCCTGAGCCCGCGGGTTCGA